GCAGGTCATCCTCACTTGGTTGACCCTGCAGGTCATGCTTGTCAGATGATGTTCTTCAAGACAACTTTGGACATACATTGACAGGCGCGCAGGCAAGGCTGGTTCACGGGGCTGCAAGTGAGGCCTGAGTTCAAGAGAAATGCCGGACATTTGGACCTGGATCTACTTCCAGACGCATGCCAGGCGTGTAAACAAAGCAAGCAAAGCTAATGCCTCGACTCTGGAGAGGTCACACTTTTTCTCAGATGCTTCACAAGTCGTCCCAGAATATTGGTTCACCTGTAGATATTTTTGATTCTTCTTGACCAACGTTTACCCTGTTTTGTTGCTTAGGGTGATATGTTCTTTTAATGTGTTCCAATTGGTGTATTCCCCCTTCTGGGGAATATGCTTGCAAGTTGTTTGCTCCCGGCAGAACATCCAAGTTACCCCGATCCTGAGGTGGGTCACACGACTTCACCACACATTTTCAGGTTCGCATCGCAAGTTACTGTGCCCAGGACTATCCACCGTTCTCCCTCGATCCATCTCAGCCTCCCAAGGCTTCATCTCATCGATGCGGCCGTCCACGGCTGTGGTCAACGCCTCGATGCGGCCGTGGTCAACGGCGCACTGAAGTGCTTGGCCGACGCAGCGGCCTGGCACTGGGCCCTGCAGCTCCTATCCTCGCCACTTCCGGTGGATGTGGCGCCCTGGTGTCGAAGGAAATGGCGACCGAAGGAGGTTCTTCTTTTTCCGCTTTTCGCCTGTAGTTTGATGGTTTAAGGAATTAATTTCCATCATAGGCCACAGATACCTATACAATTTGTTCATCAACCGTCCACATTATAGGGTGACACCCGGCACAGCCGACCTTTTGGAAGAGAAACCATGCAGTGGGGTCTCCCTATTCAAACATATACAAAGACTCCAGTCAATCTTTGGCCGAATATACTTCGTGTCCCATGATCTGTAACGGTCGATTAAAGATCACTATCTAGCCAGGCTCAGGGTAGGCTCTTGAGAGGCGCCCTCCCACGCAGGGTAGGCTCTTGAGAGGCGCCCCCCAAAAAAACACCTTGACATGGGGTGCATCTATGGACACCCAATGGGGATGTCATCGGCGAGGGCCGCGAGGACCGGATCATTCATTTTGGTGACGCGGCAGGACGGTTGGCCACGCAACCTGCCATGGGTAGGATCGTAGAACCAACGCAACCTGTGGGAGCTTTGGCGTTTCGTGTTTTCGACTCAGATCCACGATATCACAGTGCTCCATTTTTCTTCAGCGAGCCAGTTGACTTCGGTTTGACGAGCCAGGCAATGCGGTTTTCATTTCTGCTACTTGTACTAGAAAGAGTGTCCTATTATCCTATTCGTTTATTTCCTTCTTAGAAGTGGAAGCGGAGCAGATGCAGTTACTCCATACGACAAGTCTTCCGTCAGAAACGCGTGGTTGCCGAGCTCGAGTGAAGGTACCTGTTGTGTTATAGCCATGTCCCATTTTCTAGGGTACTTTGGAGTGTCAAGGTCCAAGGTATAGTGGAGGGTCAATTGTATTGTATTGTGATATATATTGTATAATATTATATATATTATATATAATATTGAGTCCTGGCGTGTTTCCTTTTTGTAGTTCGGTTGTTTGCTTTATGTGCAGGGGTTCCCGTATGTTCAGCCCAGAGTGGCTGGCATACCGCCGACGCTTCTCACCGGATCGTGCGGCGCGAGAGGTATATATATAGTATATATTTATTTTTTGTTTATATCCTGCAAGAGGTAAGTAGGCAAACCCCGAAAGAGCCCCTTGACAGCGGACAACCGTACCAAAGAAAGCATTGCAAAGCGGGGCGCTGTCTTATATTGAAATCCCATGAAACCCCCTTGCATATTGTATAATATATAATAGTTCTATACATGCATGCATGCGTGCAGGCATGAATGTATTTATATATTGTATATACACATGTGGGAGCTGCGGATTTTTTGTTTGTCAAAGACTTGACAAGATCTATACTTTTAGTTCATTGCCCATGCTGAGGTGTCTTACAGCTCAGGCATCACTGCATGTGAGAAGGCTCAGCGATCATCAGAAGCCCTGCAGTTGCTGAGGAAGATGAAGACCAGGCGGAGAGGGCGGAAAGGAAGGAGTGTTGTCAGTCGGGGCCGGCTCCGTCTGCCGGACTCGGTCTGTTTTTTCAGCGGTTGATGTCAGCGGTTTGAGCCTCGGAATCAATCCCTGTTTGAGGCGTTTGAGGGATGTATATAAAGAGTGGAACATGCGTCACAAAGATGGTTTTTAAGGACAGGAGCTTCATTGAAGAGCTTCTTGAAGTCTTGGACCAATTCTTTCTTTTGACAATCCTTTTTCCAACAATACCAACAAATCCCTTACGGTGTGTGAAGCCACCTGCGCGAACAGCGTCAAGGCGCTTCACTCCCAACGTCATCACCTACAGTGCCGCCATCCGGGCTGTAGCGAGCGATTGGCCTATGGCGTTGCAGTTGCTGGCTGACATGCGAGAGAGGAGTGGTCCCAGTTTGCGGGGACTGAACTGGCCGGTCAATTGCCGGGAGTTGGATCCTGAACTGATGCACTTTGTTTTTTGGCTAAGGCCAAGGACTCTGATGGGGGCTAGGTGAGGATTGGGCGAAGTTCGCATCATTTTGTTACCTTTCTGGCAGACAGTATATGCATGTTGGTTGGACAAAGGGGTGTGCTGTGGACGATTCATTTAGCCTGGTGTACTTGCCTGGGAGGCCGTCGAATCAAAATTGCGTAGACAGAGGCCTTTCGTGTTTGCAATCCACAGGTCAACCTGCACATCCAACAGATGAGGCTTCGGCGGATTTTATCATTGGCTCAGTTGTGGAGGGGTCCATCATGAACTTGGAGGTTTTGGAGGTGTTTGGCAGGGTCGTAGACACCCTGTCTCGCGCAATGAACCATGTTGATCCATGTTGTATCTCTGGGGCATTCGAACCATCTGGAGCTTGGCCCTTCCAACAGAAAAGCACTCCTTTTAGACCCCCCATGTTTGGACCTTCCAATCGGATCTCGGGGCGCAGATCGCCCGTATCTCGCCCCCCCCCATCCACCGCGAGGAGCATCGGCCCGAACGTGGTTACCTACGGAGCGCTCATGAAATCGTGTGAATTGGCAGCCCAATGGCAGCGAGCCCTTTGGCTTCCTGGCAAAAAAACACACATTCGGAACACCTCATAATTCAAACTTCTTCGCCTGGGGGTTGTCCAAAAAGGTTTTCCACTCAGAAATGCTAGATGTTCCGCTTTGGAACCGATGTTCCGCTTTTTGCGGTTCAGATGTGCTGGAAGTTCGACCAATGATATGTTTCTACTGTAGGCCTTCCGATCCAACATAGGGGGCCTTCCGATGGGAGCTCTACTTCTTGATTGACCAACATAAATCATATTAAATCATGAATATTGGGAAAAGCTCAAGACAGCTCACCAACAGAGCAGCATGGCCAACCTTAAAAGGTTACAGTACTGTTTACTAAAGCATCTGGGGGTATGCCTATGCACACCTTAATTTCCCCAGGGATGAACATGTCTCGTCATGCTCACCTTCCTCACCCTGGATAAACCAATAAAAACCATAAAGTAAACTAAGTAAACCCCAGAAAATCTCAACCATGGACACATTGTCCCACCTTAGTGAGACCCAGTCTTGGATCTTCCCTTCTTTCTGCCAGGCTCCTTTTGGACTGCCAGACTCGCGCTCGACCGAGCGTAGTGGTGATGTCCTCCGCGATCTCGGCCTGTGAAAAGGCTTCGGAGTCTTCGGCAAGACGAGTTAGACAGGACAGTGCGGACACACATGTGACTGCTGGGTCCTGTTGACAGTTCTACTTTTGCAAGTAATAGTGAATCCATATATAGTCGCACTGATTCTTTTATTCACATGCAGGCATTTATAGTACGTATAGTCGTTAGAGCGAGACACTTTAAGATTTGGTACTTGACCCTTTTCCGGTGCAGTTGGGACCTCCCCGCCGGATCCCGGGGAGCCAAGCCACTTGGGGCTACCTAGCCAGGCACCGTCTTCCGAAGTGATGTTCGAGTCTCCGGACCTCAGTCGACAGTCGACGCATTTCTTCTCCACAGGGGTTGTTCATGTGAAGGTGTGTGGTCCAACCTTGATTCGCAAAGGAGAAGAACATGATACCACAATGAAATAGCTACTAGGAACAAGTGCCACGCTACTAGGAACAGGTGCCTTACTAGTAGTAACAATGTTTGCTAGTAGTAACAAGTGCATCGCTAGTAGTAACAAGTGCACCAGAAGGGGCGGTCTCCCGGTGCGGTCGTTCCCGTCACGGCACCGGGCGGTTCGACGACGGAACGACTCGTTTCGAAACGAAGGCCACCGCTGGAGGTGGATGAGTGATGTTGGAGTCAAAGGACTCTAAGAGGGAAACAAATCCATAATTAGTGACTCTGTAGTTCCCTTCACTATAGCGACTCTAGTTTAGAGGCCATCGCCCTTAGGTTGGAGGCCATCGCTCTTGGTTTGGAGGCCATTGCTCTTAGTTTGGAGGCCATTGCTTCTAGTTTGGATGACTGGAACTTGCGTCACTATCAGTTGGAACTCCCAAACGGTGTTCGATTGCATTGTTTCATGATCCTACAGATCAGCTGCGCATAGCACTGAAGAGGTGTTGCTTGAAGGACTCCAGGACGCTCCAAAATTCTTGTTCATTCGTGCCATTTCATGAGGTTTCGTCGAGGCCTTGACTTCATTCAACTTCAACCTAGGAATGGCAAGTTGCCTTGAACCTCTTCCAGGCCTGCTGACTTGAGAGTCAATTTTGTGTCCGTCCAGTGGTGTTTTGTGTGTGTGTGGGGGGGGGGCGGTTGTATGATATATGTGACCTCAGCCGCTGAGATCTCGGCCGCAGGTCAAAATCAAGGTTGAGAAATAAATTGTTGTTTGGGGGCTGGGCCGGTACTGAGTAGATGAATGGGTTCTTTATACTACCAGACTGTAGCCACTATAACTTGCCTCACACTTAAGAGCTTTGCAAGCTAGAAGACATGGAATGGGATGCTGCGTCGTCAGTCAACACCGTTGGCAGTGCCTTGTCAGGGTTTAGCATACTTACTGTAGTACTTATGTACTTGTTTTCGAAGCATATCAACTTCCAGCGCCAGTGTTGTGCATGATGTTATTGATATAGCAGTGGGTCAAAACCCAGAGGGTAGGTTGACCATGTCAGGTAATTAGTCTATTCTATAATTTGATATCATTAGGGTGGAGGCCATCGCTAGTAGGTTGGAGGCCATTGCTTCTAGGTTGGAGGTCATTGCTATTAGGTTGGAGACTATATTATTGATATCAGCCATTGGCCGTTTGATGAACGGTCTGTCCTGCCTTTTGTTTGGGAAGCGCAAGTAGAGTGCAGGACTTGCTCGCCAGTATACTCAAGCCAGTATAACGGAGCCAATATATCCAGGGGCCAAAAGTTGCAAGCTTTTTCATCCTTTACCAGTGTGTGTTTTCTTGGATCAGATATACAGCCTTGAGAACTGAGGCTATGTCCATACCATGTTTGGGCATGCAAAGGCAAGAGAGATTGCAAGCGAAGATGGCTTGGTGATGCGCACAAACAAGTATGGCAAGAGACTTCTCACCATGCAGTCCCGCGTCACCAACAAGATGACAAATGACCACCGGAACGCGTTGCAGTATGGTTGGATCAAATACCGCGTCGTGGGCTACACGGAACTTGAGCCTTACCTCAGAAAGCACGACATCGACAACAAGTATGTGAAGGAGTTGCAGACGTTTCTCCAATCTCAGAACTTGGTCCACTGCATTGTCACAAACATACATGATGAGTCTTGGGTCATCACCAACTACTTCTGGGAGGAAGTTTATGGTATGGACGTCAAGGATACCTTACAGTCAACCATTCTCGACTTCCTTGAAGCTGATGACCCTGGTGTGATTGCTGATGCAGCATCGGATCCCATTTTTCGGAAAGCCTTGATGCAGCACTTTTCGGGTGGAGACAGCAAGGAGCAGCGAAATTGGCACACACTCTCGAAACTCAAAGCGCCATGGAACCTCTTAAATCTTTGTTGCCAGAACAATTACAGTGAGTGCGCCGACCTATTGCTGTCTGAGCATACACCAGAGACAGCCAAGCAGCCTTGGCTTACGTTCGCAGAACCACTTCTATCAATCGACAAGCAGCTTGGGCGGGCAAGAGGTCTGAAAGGGCACAGGGAAGGGCTCACATAATGAGACATCTCCGAAAAGAAAATGCATTCACCCATTGAGAAATAGTGCAGGGCCTTTGGGGTAAGATTGAAATATGTTTTACGCTTCTTAGCGGACCAGCAAGCAATAGCAAGACAGGGTGACGAGACCGTGGGGCGTAAATGAAAGGTTGGAAGGGGCAGAGCCCCGAAGGTTTCTAATGATTATTGCCTGTAGCTCAAGTCTTGGTACCACAGGCTTGCAAGCCTGCGTGGGTGCCTCAATAAACCTCTGTCATGTCATATTGGATTGTACGTGCGCCTAAGTCATGAAGCTTACAGCAGCCATATTTTCCCTATGGGAACGGTATTTATAGATATGTTGTTTTTTGAAGTCGTGTGCTGGCAGAGCGTCCACAACTCCTATGTCATCCTGCTGTATACTACACTTGGCAACCTTGTCTACTGACTGATGACTCAGACATTGCGGCCCCCCAACTCCTATCTCATTAGCCCAGCAAATTCCTATTTCATCAGCCCTGAGTATAACTGATTGAAGTGTGTGGCAATAGCCTGAGGCTTGCACCTGCGCCAGGGTATGTTAGCAAACATACCCACACTTAGGTACGGAAAATGAAGGAGGATTAGAATGTCTTGATGGAATAGCTGGTCTGTCGTTATAGCAAATCTGGAGGGTAAATTTACCACCTGCTTTTGTAAGGTTTGGGCGGGAAATAGGGGAAAGAGTATCTCGCATCACAAGGAATGTAAATGCACCAGGCCCTCGTAGCGCAGGATAAGTCTTCGAAAAAGGTATAAGGAACAGCTTTTGTTTGCATTGGGTCGGAAATTTGTAAACATTTCAGGCATCACCTGACCTGGGCCCAGAACTGGAACTGGAAGTGGAACTCGAACTCCACCCCCTCCCGGAAAACATCGACGCCAAACTGACGTTGGCAATCACGTCCAGACCCGGGCCCAGAACTGGAACTGGAAGCTCCCCCCCCGGAAAAAAACATCGACGCTAAACTGACTGGAAGTGGAACTGGAAGTCTCCCGTGTTGGACGACGTGGAACTGGAACTGGAACTCCCCTGCCCCCTCCCCGCCTCCCGTGTTGGACGACGTGGAACTGTAACTGGAACTCCCCTCCCCCCTCCCCAGTCTCCTGTGTTGGACGACGTGGAACTGGAACTGGAACT